TAGGGATAGATAAATAGATAGATAGATAGATATATTTGAGACATACCTCACAAGCGTAGCCTGTTATCCAATTGGAAGGGCCTCTTGTAGGGTTTCTGCACTGTAATATACATGTATCTTGGTTAATTTCAAATTGGTCAGAAGGGGGTGCAAATGTAATGGTGTGCTGGAGGAAATGTCCAGTACCTTTCAGAGAAAACCATCTGGAGTCCACCATCTCCGTATGATTGGAATGTCACACTGGAAGACACAAACATAGAGAAATCTTTAAATATCAACTGCTACAACATCATAAAGGTCAATTACTTTAACTGATAACTACTTACAGATGTAAAATCAAAGGGTGCTCCCAAGACAAGATGTACTGGAAAACAACAAAAAATAAGAATATTCTCCCTGTAAATGGCACAAAAAAAAAACTTCCTTGTTCCTTATTTAACAACTAAATAATCACACCAATAACTGGTTGCAAAAATGTATAGTATAGTCTAAAATAAATAAATAAGTACACAGGTAAACTATTATGCAATAATAAATTGTGAGTACATTAAACAAACAACTCAAGATATTCATACCTCCACAGACAACTGCATGTTGAAGTGGATTTGAAGATGACTTATTAATTTGACCAGTTTGGCTGGCTTAAACATGCTGGTCAAGCAGAAAATTGCTGGTAATTGCTGTAACACTTGTTGCACTGCTGCAGCTCAGGTAATGTGTCAACTCTCTGAATCCTTATATGTCTCTACAAGAGATGAAGCCACACACAATTATCTCAATGATGACAAATGGGATTAAAATAACTAAACTACAAGGTAATATTAACACACAAACAATGCATATAACAGAGGGAATTAAAGCAAACTATTTATTTTTATGAATAATAAACGTCTTCAAAACTTCACCGCAAGGCCCATTTACAGCATGCATCTGAAAATTAATCGAAACATCCACAGAAAAAAGTTATATACTATAAAGTATGACAACAAATTCAAGTTTCAATATAAGATAATAAAGCCAAGCACACATTAAGTACTTAGCAGATAAATGCTTAACGTAATATATACGATAATTATTAAACATATGATAGCAAAAACATTACAGACTATTCACCGTGCTCTCTCGTTGTCAATAACTCCGCCCCTCACTTCCGGTTCTGTGGCTGCGGTTCTGTGAAACTGCTGGTGCTGCGGGTCTGCATGGTCTGCAGCTGGATATGTCTCCTCTGCTTTGCAGCACAGTTAATGATATGCTAAGGATAGGATCCCTTGACGCGATTGGTTATTGAGTTATGTGACGTAGCAAAACAAAGGCTGTTTCAAACAGCTGTTTCTGTGACTGCCTTTGGGATCAGGAGCAAATACACATATGAACATCCGATTAGGTGCATATTGAAAATATTGATTGTAACCCTCTTGGAAATGGCAGAAGTCTGCCAGGGAAACACGGCCTCTGAGGCTATACCGTGGACCTTACACATATGAGATCCACTTAGGTCTCACATATGGAACCCAGCCTTCTACCGGTTCTCAAGGATTCATCGAGTGAAGGCCTGGCACCGGACGTTCTGCCACGTCTGGCTGTCGAGGGGATGGAGGAGCTCGACAGGGTCTGGAGCAGTTTTAGCAAGCCGACACTAAACCGGGGCCTCTCAGTGCCTCTACCCGTTTGAGGTGAGAACACAGGAGGATACCGGCTCCACACGAAGGCTATAGAATCTAGCGAACGTGTTGGGGGTCGCCCAGCCCGCAGCTCTACAAATATCTGTCAGCGAGGCGCCACGAGCCAGCGCCCAGGAGGATGCAACACTCCTAGTAGAGTGAGCTCGCAACCTGAGCGGGCAGGGCACACCCTGTGCCTGATTAGCCAGGGCGATGGCATCCACAATCCAGTGGGCTATCCTCTGCTTAGAGACGGCCTTCCTCTTCTGCCGGCCTCCGTAACAGATAGAGAGCTGGTCTGACGTCCTAAAGCTTTGTGTCCGGTCTACGTACCATCTCAAGGCTCGGAAGGATTTAACCTTCTCGCCCCCCTAAAGAACCTGATGAACAGGTCATGCTCACCTACCGACTTCCCTTCCATGGCGTCATGGTTAGCAGCAATCGCAGCGACATAAACATTAAGGGTGGAGGGAGACAGCCCTTGGTGCAAAAAGGAAAGCACGACCCTGATCGGGCATCTCCGGGGGTCTTCTCGGTGAGAAGAACACCACTCGACGAA